CACACACACACACACACACACACACACACACACACACACACACACACGTTTTTTTCATCTCAGTGGGGACCTGGTATTGACCCATTAGTTTGTCATTTCAATTAACCCTGAAGCTTTACCCTAAACCTAAACACCCCAAATACATACCTGACCCTAAAACTAGCCTGAACTTAATTCACACATTGGTCCTAAACCTATTGGAACCAGGCTTTGGTCTCCATGAGGCTGTGTTTTTCTGGTAAATAAGTCTCTGTGATGTAGCAAAAACATGTCCACACACACACACACACACACGCTGTACATCTGATGATCTCATTCCTAATCTTCTACATCCCTGTTTCTCCCGAAGAGAACCTCAACATCTTCAGCTCAGACACTTCCAGTTTTGTCTCTGCCTTTTTTCTCCATGTCTCTGTCTTCAAAACATAGTTGGTCTCACTGGTCTCTTGTAAACCTTTCCTTTGACCTTTGCTGCCATCCTTTTGTCACAAATCACTCCTGAAACATTTCTTCATCCTGTCTGGACTCACGTCTTCTCCTCTTCACCACACTCCCTGTTCACCTGAACAGTGGACACTAAGTCTTTAAAGTCTTGGACTTTTGTGACTTCCTCTCCTTGTAGTCTCACTGTTCCACCTGTCTCCCTCGCATTCACACGCATGACTGACTTTCTTTCAAGTTCGTACCTCCACCTCTCCAAGTTCTCTTCCACCTACTCCCTGTTGTCATCAAAGATCACAATGTCCTCTGCAAACATCATAATCCACAAGGAATCCTACCTGTCCTCATCTGTTAGACTGTCCACCACCAGAGCAAACAAGAAGGGACTCAGAGTCGATCCTTGCTGCAGTCCCTCCTCTGCCTTGGAGATATCTTTCTACAGCTCATCTGTCCTACTGTCCTCATACATGTCCTCATACTTGTCCCGTACCAGTCTTACATACTACCACTTCAGATGTTCTCATGCAGCACCACAGCTCCTCCCTCAGCACCCTGTCATATCAACAGACACAATGAAGTCTAACCCGCTGCTCATCCATTCAGTCTGACCTCTCTCTGTCTCACTGGTAATAAAAAAGTCAAGTGATAATGAAGTCACCAACCAAGACAGTTGCATTTTTCTGATGGTGGAGTCCTATGTTTAACCAGACCCTGATAAAAGAGTGTGCACTGATTCTGTAACATTACCCAGCAGCAGCGGTGACTCATTCTTCTTGTTTGTGTTGTGAGGCGAGGCCCCGTGCTCCAGCAGGCTCCTCACATTTTGTTTAAGCCCAGCCTTTATGGCCAGAGTGAGCGGCGTCTCTCCTCCAACACCCGTCCTGTCCTCCAGACTGAGCCCCGGAGCTTCCAGGGACACAAACACAGAACACAAAGGTCAGAGAGCAGATCCCTGAGCTTTCATCGGACCGCCAGCTGACCGGTGAGCTGACACGTCTCGGACAGGCTGAATGAAAGAAGACTGACATCACTGTCGAATTTAAACTGTCTGCTCACAAGCTGGAACATTTCTCAGCTTTAGACAGTGTTGGAGAAATTATCAGTTAGCAGTTTTTCTCGTACCAGGGTGGTTTTCTTAACTTTGTAATGCAGTCACTGCCCAGTGAAGTAAAATGTTTTTGAACCATGAGTATTAGAACCATCAAACTACCACCCGCTTCAGATGTTATCATTCATTAAATGGACTTTATTAGCGGTTATCAGTCCCATAGAATGGCTTCAGACTGTCATTTGATTAATACAGTATGAGGCATAAAACCAATAAAGTTAATTTTAGAGAACATGACCTAGGCTACGATAAAGTAGACCAGACTCGCAGATTGTTGCCTTCCAACGTATATGTCACAGATGACCCACTAGGGGGCACTGTCGGGACTGTCTGAAGCCATTCTGTGGGACTGATAACCGCTAATAACTTCCATTTAATGGACTGATAACATCCGAACTGGCTGAAACTACAGAAAAGTTTAAGCTGGGAGTCAAACCTGCCATGACACTTTATTCTGTCTATTTCTGATTTTTTGTATTAAGGATTGTACTCACCTCCCAGGATTGTCTCCAGAACCTCCAGGACCGGTTGGGACGCTGCCCGATGAAGAGGAAGCCAACCATGGCTATCTGACTCCCTGAAGGCGAAGGTGTGCTTCAGCATGGCTCTGAGCACAGACACCTCACCTGCACCACACAAAAACACAACAGAAGTTAAACCAAAAAAAAAAAAAAAAACAGATGGAGCTTTTAAAAACTTAGTGTATAAACTAGTGAAGAGATTTTAGTGAAACTCTCATTAACAGATGGTCTAATTCAAAACGGCCACCAAAGCTAACCAACCTTAGCCCATGCAAAACAACTCTACAGACATTAGGTAAACTTTGGTGTGATAGCTGAAAGGCACTAACACAAGTGAAAACAGATGATGCAACATGCATGATGTTATTTACAATGTTTGTCCAACATGACTACAATAATCTCAGTGCTCTTTAAGGAATGCCAGGCCTTTAATTCCACTGCCATCTATTTATCCCACAGACTCCGACTGGCTGCCAGCGTCATGATACATACTGATCCTCATGTGCAGCTGCAACTTCTCTTTAGCTTTAAGTTCTTAACCCACCTTGTTCAATGGCTGCCAGGACTCTGAGATTTTCATCAGTCGATGAAGCTAAGCTAAAAAGCCAAAGAACAGAGGAGACACGTGGCAGTTAGCTGGTTGAATAATAAATAGTAACCACACAGGGTTAAATGGGTCGGCCCTCGTACCTGGCTGCAGATTTTAGGAAAGCGTCTTGGCAGGAGTTGTGAATACTGAGCTGAATGATGTAATGGTTAAGGTTTTCATCACTTCCCTCATGAGTGTTCATCACTCTGCCAGAAGAAAAGAAAAGAAACGTCCTGCTGTCAGTACTGCTTCCTGTGCGTTTCTGACGGCATCACTGGTTATTATTTGCTCACGCTTCTGGTTTCTCTTTAAAAATATTTGTAATCTCAATGGAATTTGCCTGGTTACATGAATAAATTAATATACAAACAAAAATTATCAGCAGGAGGATGTGGGCTCTTACTTTTACTGGCTGTCATGACATTGTGAGTCCTTGAAATATCTCCTAAAGTATCTACTGAATCACTAACTTTTTCTAAGTAAACATCAGAGGTTCCTCTGCAAACAATTTGTATTTCAGGCAGAGATGTGCGCAAGTCTTTTTTTTTTGCAAGTCCAAGTCTTTGACCAAAAATCCAAGTCAAGTCTTAAGTCTGTTGACCTTAAGTCCACATCTAGTGCTTTTACAAATGTAGATTGCAATCGTTTTTTAAATTATTTTATTGACAAAGTTGCCGGCATCAGGGCCTGTATCTCTCCCTCACCATCCCTCTGTCTGGTCCCTCCTCCTGTGACCTCTGATACATGGTCCTCATTCACCCCAGTGGCAATTCAGGACATCACAGAGCTGTTGGGTCGAATGAAAATGTCCTCTAGCCCCCTTGATGTCCTGCCCTCTTCTCTTTTTAAGCGTATTTTTAACTGTATTGGCCCAAGTGTTGTAAAACTGATAAATTACTCCCTTGGTTCTGGTTCTGTACCCCACTGCTTCAAAACAGCTGTTGTCTGTCCTTTGTTAAAAAAGCCTAATTTAGACTCTTCTCTGCCTGAAAGCTACAGACCGATCTCCAAACTACCATTTTTATCAAAAATCCTGGAGAAGGTGATAGCTGAACAACTAATATGCTGTTTGGAGGAAAATGACATTATGGACACTTTTCAGTCTGGATTTCGCAAATTGCACTCCACAGAAACAGCTTTATTAAAGGTTTCAAGTGACTTGTTGATGGCAGCTGACTCTGGAAACTACACTGTACTGGTTTTACTGGACTTAACTTCAGCGTTTGACACTGTGGATCACTCTGTTCTTATCAACAGACTGAGAGATAATTTTGGTATTTCTGGCTCTGTTTTAAACTGTTCACCTCTTATTTATCTGAACGGTCTTTTACTGTTTTTATGAATCAGGTTTACTCTGATGTTGCACCGCTGTCTTGTGGGGTACCCCAAGGTTCAGTTTTAGGTCCAATCCTCTTTTTATTGTACCTGTACCCTTTAGGAGGTATTTTAAAATGTTACAGTAATGTGTCCTACCATCTGTATGCTGATGACATACAGTTGTACTGTTCCTTTCGACCCTCTGAGTTCTTCAAACTATCTGAACTCAGTACCTGTCTGTCAGAAGTCAAAATATGGCTGAACAACAAGTACCTGCAGTTAAATGCAAACAAGACTGAAACTCTTATTATCGCCCCTGATGATAAAATCCCTGTAATCAGGCAGCACCTTGCTTTTTTAACCCCTTCAGTGAAAAATAGTCTCAGAAATCTTGGTGTTGTCTTTGATAGTTCTATGTCTTTTGACAGCCATTGTAAAATTTTAGTTCGTAACTGTTTTTATCATTTAAGGAACATTTCAYAGCTGAGATCTTTTGTGTCACAGAAGGAACTAGAGATGGTTGTTCACGCTTTATTTCTTCTCGTTTAGATTACTGCAACAGTCTTTTTATATGTCTAAACAAATCCTCCTTGACTCGGCTTCAGTCTGTGCAGAACGCTGCAGCGAGTTTATTAACAAAGACCCACAGGAGAGCCCACATTACACCTGTTTTAGCCTCTCTGCACTGGCTCCCTGTGACTTTGAGGAGTCATTTTAAAATTTTAGTTTTAACTTTCAGAACACTTCATGGTCAGGCCCCCAAATACATACTGGACCTTCTGAAGCCTCTCTGTCCATCCAGGACTTTGAGGTCTTCTAATCAAATGCTGCTGGTGGTCCCTCGAACCCGTTATAAAACCTGTGGAGACAAAGCTTTTCAGGTGGTGGCCCCGAGGCTCTGGAACGCTCTCCCTCTGTCCCTTCGCTGCTCAGATTCTACTGACTCTTTTAAGAGACATCTTAAGACATTTTTATTCAGACAGGGTTTTAGTTAAGTGCTTTTTATTGTGTTTTAATTTTTGTTTATATATCTGTGATCTGTTTTTTTTGTTTTTAATTATTTTTGATTTCTGTGAAGCACTTTGTGATGTTTGTCTGTGAAAGGTGCTATAGAAATAAAGTTTACTTACTTACTTAGTTGCATGAACTGGCAGTTTAATCAAAGGTATTCTAACTATACAAGGTGTTATGGCAATATTTATTTAACAACAGAGACAGAAATACGCTGGTCAAGAATGAAGGTACTCCGTGAGATGATCAGCTGAGTTTTATTGCAACAACAGGAAACACAGAGAACCTGGCCTGTCTCTGTGCCTCTCTGTCAGTCTCTCCACACTGCTCACTGTCTAACTCTCTTGCACACTGTGTCTCGAGAGGCCTCATATACAGCATTCTGTCATCTAACATTGTGTGAGAATGAACAACCAATCATAACCTGCCCCATCCTGATACACGGAAATAGGTCAACTTGATGCTGACGTCCGGAAGGATATCACAAGATATGAACAAGTGTTCATATCTTCAGGAACAGGAACAAGTGGTCAGTGTCAAGGTAATACAGATATAAGTATTCCACAACACAAGGTTATATTCTATAATACTATATTTTAATAAAATATTAAAACGTAGTATTGTGTATTAATAATACAGATAAGTTAAGGTTGAAATAACAATCAAGCATTTAAAGTATTGTTATCAGTATTTTGCACTTGTAATTTTACAAAAGCATACTGTAATTATATCTTATCATTGACAAAGAACAAATCCAACAAGTCTACACCTGATTTTACAAAAAAATACCAGAAATTTTTTTTAAATGCATAAAAGCATGTCAGTGAAGAAGATGAACCAGAATCCTTAAAGTAAAAGGGCTGCACAAGTCATCACAAAAGCAAATTTTGGATTTGGACTCCACACACTTTCCATTTTGCCTGTCGTTTGTCATGGCATTGAATAAAGTCTGTAAGCAAAGCTTATAATGAATGGCAACTGCAACACCCCTGCCATGCTGAAGCTCTGTTTATCATTATTATTTATAGGGTACACATCATTAACATTAGACAGCGCTGGCCCCTCCCATTCTCAGGTGACGGGGAGCGGAGTGTATGGAAGAATTATTCTGACTTTAATCAAGGGAGTATATTTTTAATTTGAGAGCAGGAGTAAATGTATTTGCTTTTAAAACTTTATGTTTTTGTTCTCAAAGGAGCGGAGTGTGGATGTGTATTGAGGGAGTGAGCATCATGAGCCGGGCAGTGAAAAGACTTGCATTGTTCACGAGTCTCAAACCACAAGTCAAGTCTAAGTCTTCAGGGTCCAAGTCCAAGTCAAGTCTAAGTCTCTAATAGTAGGGACTTACTGTAAGTGTGACTCAAGTCCAAGTCTGAGTCACGAGTCCCCATCTCTGATTTCAGGTCAACAGGACTAAAAATGGCTAATACAGAACGGCTATAACTGAGTCATTTTTAGAAATATGAGCTAAAGTTTTGTTTGGTAGTAGCTGACAGTAATCCTCAGATGTACTCCTTACAGTCTCCTTTTAGTTTCATAATTTCTTTTGATTTATAAATTGTAGGAATAAAAGAGTTTGTTTGCAAAACTCTTGTAAAGTTTGGCAGCTGAAGCAGTGTGTGACACCCTGAGTTCAACATGCTGTTATTAAATCCCTGAAAATCACAAAACTGAATTTGTTTAATTCGTTGCATTTTTATCAAAATGTCAGTTCAGTGATCTGAGCTGCAACTTTCTGTGATCCATTTAAACTTTACATGTTTCTTGTGTTAAATATCTGAGCAGTTGAGGACTGGGTTTTCACTTGTTTTACATAAATCACTCCTTGTTTGGTTTAAGATGAAACATTTGTATGAATTTTGTCTTCAGTTTTTTTAGGTAATGTTACCTAAATCATTGCATCCTGTTCCCAGCTGAGTCATATTTTGATGTTTTCTTGTTTGAACGTGCAAACTGAAAAAACCTGACAGACAGTAGGAATGGTGATTTCAGTGCTTATGCTCTGGTAGTCAGTATTTGACTAAAACTGTTGTAAACCAAAGACATTAAAAACCTCCACAACCAACATTAAACACACATTAAAGATCAATAATAAAAACATTATCATGTCTTCACAAACAGAATGATTCTCACTCTAACATGACAAATTCATCTTCCCTGAGTCTGATTGCCAAAAAACTTTAGACCTGCAACACGTTACAAACATTTTTCTATATATTTACAACTGAAGAGAGAACTCACCTTGTGGGAGGCCAGGTGTTGGCAGCTCAGGCTGATGGGTCGAACTAGAGTCAGAATAAAGACAGTGTTTCTATCCGTGCATCAGTCTGCAGAAACACAAGAGGTGGACTCTGTCGGCTGCTCTCTATAAATACACGCATCTCAAATCTACTGTTGTGGGACATAAGCCTGGTCTTTTCCCTGTTTGGTGGAAACCCTGCAGTCCAGATCCTATGAGCTCCTGGGGCTTAGTCTGTGGACCTAATTCTGCTGAGAGGATCAGCAGCTATTGTTTAGAGGAATGTGGAACCGGTCCCACACAGCAGACAGGTGTGGGACAGATCTGGAGTCAGCCTGGCACTGCTGGCACAGCAAGAGTTTGTCAACCAGATGTGGGCCAGGTCTGGCAATGATGGCACTGGTTATATGATGCCGTGCCACAACTGGCCCAGTTGTGGTTGGGTTTATGTGGTGTTGGCCCTTGCATGGACCACCTCTGGCAGATCATATCAGGGCCCCCAAAGATCAGCATCTGCAGTATCTGGGCTGAGTGTTTGTGCATTGTGTGGGCCAGAACTGGGCTTTGCTTTGTGGGTCTGGTCTTTTATTTTTTTCTGTTCGTTTTTCACTGACAAATAGGACCTGCTATCTGTTTTCAAAGACTGATATATATATATATATA